TTACAGCCTTTCTGAAGCTCCTCATTAATTTGCACCAATCACAGATTCCAGTTCTGCAAAATACTTTCCTCCCACGGACTGTAGTGATCCTCGCTTAGAAATATTTTACATTGTCCCTGCGTTTTCTGGCATGTTCCCAGAACTGCTTCTTTTTGTGTATTCTATAATCAATGGATGAAAACAGAAGGAATTAAGTGCATTTCCCCAAAACAAAACAAATAAGTCCTGTGTGGGCATTCAGAAGAACTCACAAAATAAACAATTTTTTAAAATGGAAGCTTAGAGCATGACATGCAGTGAAGAATATTCTGTTTTCTTTAAAAAAATTATTTCTTAGCTTCACTCTTCCCAAAAATTCTTATACTAAGTCAAAGACTGCAATCAATTGGATTAAGTTAGGCTGCAATCCTAACTCTTTCTCCTCAGAAAGAAGTTCCATTTGATTCAGTGGGGCTTACTCCCAGGTAAATGAGGTTAGGATTGCATGGGCAGTCATTAATCGGTGGACTCCATTGTTTTTTAAAGTAATTAACACCATAAGAAGCAATATATAATGCTCAACACTTAATACACATTCATTCTAGATGAGAGATTTTCAGCCAGTGATGCACTCATAATTTTAGACTGAATTAAATGATCTTAAGATGGTAATGTTATTGCTTCACTTACTTCAAAAGGTCTTACTCTAGCGGTGTGCACCAGCCACAATATTTGACTTGCATTTGTAGCTTTGGGAAGCAACCTGATCTGTTTCAGAGCCACACTGTTTATTTCCAATTTGTGTTGGGCCAGACTCAGCCCTGCTTGTCATTACTGGGACATCCTCTTTTTCCAGCTGCTGCTGCTGCCCGAGTTAATTTAAACTATTCTTTGTTTAGCAGCCACCGCAGTACTGAGGATTTTACAAAGGACATTTCATTAAAACTTCAAACAGGATGAATGGAGTTGCCGCACTCACCTCATAGGAAGAGCCAGTTTGGCCAACAGAACTTTGCCGTTTTCCATTTGCATGCACTGTCCCTGTTTGATGGGAAATTAATCCCACCGTCTCTTTGAAAACTTGAAAAATGGCAAAGCATAAAAAAGTCAGAAACGGCAAGTGCAGGCCATAAAAAGTTTAAATCTGGCATGAGCATTACAGATGATGGCAATAGCAGTTCCTGCTGTTAATGATTCGCTCCACTGTTGTGTAAGCAAAACTCTTCTTTTGAAAGAGGTGCACTGAAGCCCCTGAAAGGCATCTTGTGAGACAAGGGGGGGTGTTTAGCAAGGCCTGAAATGTATGGTGGGGGGCTGCAGTGGCATAAGAACAGTGTTTCTGATCACAGGGGAGGCTCCAAGTGCACTTTGCATGCACGGGGATGTTGCTCCCACCCATTGCCTGGTTTCAGCTGACAAGTGTTCTCTCTGAACATCTGAAAAAAGAGTGCTAAAGTTAGTTGGAACTGCAACACATTAAATATTTTGTTTGTTTAGTGTCAACACCAAACTGTGGCTGGAATGAGTCCTTGATGCTTGCCTGGATCAAGAACGGACAGATGTATGTGTGGAGACCTCTTAGTTTTGCAAAGCTGGAATGTAGTCTACTATAAAAGGGTAAGAGTCATAGCCATTGCTCTACTCACTTTCATCTTTCTGGTCTCTCTTCTGCATTTGTCTCTTGCCATTCCCACAACCCCTAGAAGGCTGTCCATGAAGGAATGTGGTTCTTGGACCGAAAAGGTTCCTCACCCCAGTTTAAGACTTTAAAGGACATAATCAGCACGTTGAATTGAACCCAAAACCAAATTGGAAGCCAATGGATGTGGTCTAATGCATGATCTAACCTGCTAGACCCATGTAAAACCATGTCAATTAATGCATTAAAAAATTGCATTGAGCATGAGAAAATTCTGAATATAACAGACTTTTACTTCAAGTGAACCAAGAGTGAACAACAAGAACTGTGCCAAAGATCTGCACTTGTTTTGTGTCCAATTTAATTAACATTTATGGAGTATGAAGTAAACAATGAGCAAGACTTACCCCTAAATTCCCCTTGCCTGTTGGCTCCACTGTTCTGCCACATGCTGGAGATCTGTAACTTCATTTGTGAGAGGAAACTAGAGAAATCCCTGCAGCCTAGTTGTGAAACCTGGCTGGCTTCCTGTCTTGATTTATTCCACAGCCAATGAATTGTTCACCCTCGTCTACACTGTCTGGATTGAATTACATATTGCTAAATATGCATAGCTGAAAACTCTGGTTATTTAGGGCTGCCTTTAGTGAATATTTTTAGTGTCTGGAGAACACGTAACTACTGTATCCTAGTCACAAGAAATGTGGAAAGATAGGTGTCAGGATTCAAAACCCACCTAGGAGTTATTTCAGGAGATAGGCCAATGTATTTTGATGTTTGAGGCAAAAAAAGTCCCATGCTCCCACTCTCACACCAATGGTAGTAAAAAAATCTAATACTATGCTAAATAATTGATATTTTGATGGCATTCAGTGGTCTCCTAAATCTGTTGCTTCAGCCCACCCGCCACCCCTGCAGCCTTTCATCCTCGGTGTGCAGTAACGACATCCATCTATCATCTATCTATCTATCTATCTATCTATCTATCTATCTATCTATCTATCATCTGTCTCTGAATCCTGGACTGGCAAACTGTATCTCTGGGCCCAGCTGAATGTGATAGCAAACACTCCATTTGTTGCTGCTTTTCTTGAAACACACCTGAATCTCATTGGGACTGTAGTGTCGAGGTTCAATAACCTTTTTGCCATGGCTTTGCCAAAAAATCTAACCCCCTTCCAACATTCCTAGTATTAGTCCTGAGAGAGAAGCTTCCATTGGTGCCCCTTCTTACTTCTGTTACTGTTTAAAAAAAGGCAGGGGAGAGAGAGAAGATCACGTGATGCATTCAGGCTATATACACACTATCCCTTTAAGGCACATTCTCAGGCAGGAGCAGGTGAGGGAGAGCTTCATGGAGGCCCCTCCAGTGGTGGGGAGGGGGGCTGCTGCTTCTGTAGGGCATCTGGTCATAGCTGTCAAGTGTCCCTTATTTGAAGGGACAGTCCCTTATTCCAGCGCCATGTCCCACTGCTGTCCCTTAATGATGGATGTCCCTTAAATGATGTCCCTTAAATTTCAAAGGAAGCAGCTCCTCTCCCTCCCTCCCTGTCGGCCAGGGAGGAGGAAGGCTCCAACTGTGTTGCTTGGCTGTGTTGATCACCCAATAAGAAGTCTAAGAACAACTGGGGGGTGCAGCTTGCATGCCTTGTGTGTGGCTAGTTAATGCAAGCTGAGGGGGTTTTTGAATGCTGGACGCCATTTTTGTTGCACGTGCTGCTGCAAACTTTGCAGTGCAAAGCCAGGCCGGGGAGCCATCTTAAGTTGAGGCTGCATAGGCCTTGTGGTGCATGTGATTCAGATTCTATTCAGTTGAACCTCTGGTTACAAAGTTGGTTGGACAGTGTTCTCGAAGCTACCAGCATGAGTTTGACCAGACTGCAGGAGGACAGGAAGACCGGAGTGCCTGGAACAGGTGAGGCTGCAGGTCCCTTATTTTGGCTGCTGGTCCCTTATTTTCAAATCTGCAAGTTGACAGCTATGCATCTGGTCAGAATTTGGCAGTCCCTGAAGCACTGAAGCAATGGTTCCTGATGGACCCTGACCCTGTTTTGAAGAATCACAGTACAGTGGTACCTTGGGTTAAGTACTTAATTCGTTCCGAAGGTCCGTTCGTAACCTGAAACTGTTCTTAACCTGTAGCACCACTTTAGCTAATGGGGCCTCCCGCTGCTGCTGCGCCGCAGGAGCACGATTTCTGTTCTTATCCTGAAGCAAAGTTCTTAACCTGAAGCACTATTTCTGGGTTAGCGGAGTCTGTAACCTGAAGCATATGTAACCTGAGGAACCACTGTATTCGTTTTAGGTTGCCCAGGTGATATCTATCATTCATGCCACAGGTCGATCATGAAAGCATCTGCAGATGTCTGGGACGAGGACCAAAGAGATACAGTGGGTGAGGGAAGTAATGTGTCTTACTATTGGGGGGTGGGAAGAGTGAGAGGGCAAAAACCATACTGACTGTAAGGGGGCAACGGGTGAAGCTGCCCATAGGAAGAGCAGCAGAGGATGGGAGGTTAAGGTAGCATAGGAACAGGGGAAAGAAATGGCAGAAGGAAGGCATCCCACTTGCTTCCTAAGATGTGGGACCCAATCACAGGTGGCCTGTCACATAAGGAAACTTGGGCCTTTGGGGGCATATTTTGCCACAAACTTTCAGTGGCGATGGTGGTTTCTTTTCCAGCTACTGGAAAAAGCAGCCCAGTCCTGTGCTCAGATTTGCCACCTGCATTCTAGCAGCATTTTGTTGTGGTGCTGTTGGGAGAGGGTTTGGGTTCTAAAGGTGACGGGCTCTTTTTGGGGTGCGGGAAACAGAAACGCTTTGGTGACTGGGGAAGTCTGGCAGGCATCAGAGCGAACTCCTAGGGACCAAGGTCCCTTCAGCCCCCCCCCAAATATTTGAGGGGGCTGCCCCCCAAAGTTAATGGGCATTGCCATCATTCAAATGCCGTGCATGTGCCATGTCCTGTGATCGATTATGCGGGGAGGGGCTTGCTTGCTCCCCCCAACATATTTTATTGAAGTTGGCACTCCTGGTGGCAGGGGGTTCCACAGGCGCCCCAGAAGGATCTGGGAATCATTCCATGGATTCTGTGACATGCAACCCCAAAGCGATGGGCACAAGGGGTGATCTCTCGTGACCTGTGGAGGAACCCCCAGGTGGGTCGAAGGGCTGCGTGGCGAAGCCAAGGCTGCTTCTCCTCCTCTCTTTGGCTCTCTCTCGCTCTCTCCCTCCGCCTTGCAACGCGGGCGACCAGCCCTGCAGCTCGTCTCAACCCCTCTGATCAGCCAAGCCACGCTAATTGGCTGGCCAATGGCGAGGCAGCCCAAGAATTTAGCGCGGCTTCCGGCGCTCTCATTGGCTGGCGGGAGTGTCGGGGAGGCTGAGCGTTCCAGAGCAGGACTGCAGTGCACGCCGCCAGCCTCGCTCGCTGCATTGTGCGCTCGTGGGATGGGGCGGCTGGCCCGAGGCGGGCGGCTGGCCACGCAAGCGGTGAGTAGCCCGGGTTCCCCCCCACCTTGATGACTGTTTTTAAATAAGGGGGAAAGGAGGATCCCCGTGTGGAGGAGGAGGCACAGCGCTGCGCGCGAGAGGCGCGGAGTCTCAGGCGAGGCTTTTGTTGTGCGTTGCTCGCTGCAAGCGCTGGGGATCTGCAGCAACAGATGAAATGTTTGGGGAATTGATCGGCGCGCTTTGCAAGTGCACGATCACGAGCGCGGTGGTTTCTCCCCTTCCTGGGTCTGGTCTTCCCTCCTCGTCGGCGAGAGTGTCATGGTCAGTCCATCTCCCCCAAGGATCAAGAGCTGGCGAGCTTTCAGAGGGCAGGAAATGAAATAGGCGCTGCGCTGGGGGGAAGTTTCCGAGCTGGAGATCATACAAACGGATTCGAGACGGGAGGCTTACCTACGAAATACAGATGTATTTCTTTGCTAAATAAAGTGGACTTAAAAAAACAAACAAGCCTCCCCCCCCCACACCCCTGTGATCGCAGAATATTTTGCAGCCTGGTGCTTGATCCCTACGGATGAAATGCTTAAAAGAAATATCTACGTGCATCTTCGCTGTTTTGTGGTATTCGAATTAAAGCTACATCCTAGTTTTAAATATTACAGCAGAAACTCTATTAAGAGGAACAAACCAGGCCTTGTAGTTGAATATCTAGAACAGCTGCGTTGAGATGCTTAGGTTAAAGTTGATTCAGTTCTATTGATTTTTAGTGTTTAGCGTGTTAAATGTGAATAAACGGAATGCATTTGGTGGTATACTGAGGGTGCAGAACTCCTTTTTATTTAACAGGCTCAAGAGTTTACATTTTTTGAGGCTCCTTTTCTACTAATGTGACATACACACAAAGTTAATAGGCCTGACTCAAGTACTCAAATGCTCTGTGAATGCATTTTGCTGTGAATTCCAATAGTTGCTTCTCATAGTTGCAAAGCATTTTGTCTGTAGGGTGATGCTCTTTTCATTGGATAGACATGTGTCTAGAACTGCTAAAAATTGATAGGTAAAGCCAGTACTTGCTGAGAAAATCACTTAAGGGAAGATGGAAGTCCAAGTCTAAGTTTAATCTTACGCATGTTTGCCCAGGAAAAAACCCGTGAGACTTAACTCCCAGGAAATCATGCAAATTGCAATCACTGGCTGTAATCTTTTGCACACTTACTTGGGAGTAAGTACCATTGAACACAGTGGGACTTACTTTTGAATAAACATACAAAGCTGTTAGATCATAAGTACATTTACTAGTGGTCTATATTGGTAATACAAGCGGAGTGATTCACACATTTATTTTAATGTGGTAGTCTAGATAATGTTGCACATTCTAGCCTGAATGCCGTCTTGCCACTTAAAAATGAAAAAAAATTATTTCAGTCCTGAGATTTGCTTGCTTGCTTGTTTTTGTAAAAATAAATAAAATGTGAACTTCAAAAGGTTTTCCTTTGGAATTGTTCATTTACCATAAAAACTTTCATAACTTTAATGACTCAAGAAAAATTGCAATTACTTTGATTCATCTAAGTCTGTCATTTTGGGCATTTGCTAGAATGACTGTTTTTGAAGTGATTCTTTGATTTCAAAATTGGTCTCATTGACTGACTTCTGAGTTAACATGCATAGCATCAAGTAATTTCACATGTGTGTTGTGAGAGCCAGTGTGGTGGTGTGGTGAGAGTGTCGGGGTAAGACCTGGGGGAGCAGGGTTCAAATCCCCACTCAGCTATGAAACTAACTGGGTGTGGCCAGCCATACCTACCTCACAGGGTTGATGTGGGGATTGATTGAAGAAGGGCAAAAAAGGTGGGATAGAAAGGCAATAAATAAATAGTAAAGGTAAAGGGACCCCTGACCATTAGGTCCAGTCGTGGCCGACTCTGGGGTTGTGGCGCTCATCTCGCTTTATTGGCCGAGGGAGCCGGCATACAGCTTCCGGGTCATGTGGCCAGCATGACTAAGCCGCTTCTGGCGAACCAGAGCAGCGCATGGAAACGCCGTTTACCTTCCCGCCGGAGCGGTACCTATTTATCTACTTGCACTTTGACGTGCTTTCAAACTGCTAGGTTGGCAGGAGCAGGGACCGAGCAACGGGAGCTCAGCCCGTCACGGGGATTCGAACCGCCGACCTTGTGATCGGCAAGTCCTAGGCTCTGTGCTTTAACCCACAGCGCCACCTGCGTCCCTTAATAAATAAATAAAACCATTTAATAAGTACAACATCAAATAATTTACACATGGATGAAAAGGGACGAAGATGCTTTGAACTGGTCTTCCATAAATGCATGATGCTTATAAATTACCTGATGTGTTTCAGGAAAAACAAGAGTAGGGCAAAGAATATTGATGTGTCCTGACTTGGTAAGGTAACTAGAGGGTTATATCTTCAATAAATATTCCCACTTCTTACCTTTCTCTTTTCTTTTTAAAAATCTGTCTCATTCTATGGGCTGTCCCATCTCTCGTTTTGCGAGTTTGAATAAGCTATTTCGAGATTTATTATTATAGATAGAACATCTACAGCTTGTGATCTCAAGCTGTAACATTCATTGAATGTGATGCATATCCAAGATTTGAAGTGAAACGATGAGATGTGATTTAAAGGATATTAATCTTTCTTAAATTCACTTTAAGTCCAGGTGGTAAGGCTTGACAGGTTTGTGGATTGCTGCCGCAGTCGGCAGCAAGATATGTAGCCTTAAAGTCGAGGCAAGTTAAACATGAGGAAACTATTGTGTGATCGACTTTGTTTTTTTGTAAGAATCCTGCTGTCCATCTATCACAGATGGATACAAAAAATGGCTTATAGGAGCAAAGCTAGATTCCAAAAGGTGTCCGAGAGATGGAGCTAATTATCTACAGTACACACTGGGACAACTTACACACATAAGATACATTTCTACATATGAATTACTATAGAAAAGGGGTACCAATCGGAGCCTTTTTGTTGCTACCGCACTTGGGAGTTGGGCACCCTAGAAATCATCCAAAGATCTACAACTAGATTGCACTCCCATTGTAAGGATTTTGAATTGTTCCACATGTGGAAATACTGGTTGATTATTTCGATCGAATATTTCTTTTTCTCTTTTAAAATTTATATCCCACCCATCTGGCTGGGTTTCCCCTGCCACTCTGGGCAGCTTACAACATATATAAAAACACAACAAAACATCAAACATTGAAAAACAAAATATCCTATATAACCAACCAACCAACAAATCAATCAATCAATAGAAATCAATAATAACAACAAAAATAATAACAGTTTACAGTTATACCCAAATTAAAATAACCACCAACTCCACCTAAGCATTTAACCAACACCAACCTGACAAAAACAAAACAGGGGAACCAAAATTAGAACCGTTTAAAACAATTTAAACATTTTAGCCAATTGCCCCAAACCAAGAGTTGTTCCAGCAACGTCCCAGTGGCCTCCCAAGAGCTTCTTTTAGCTGTTCAGGGTGAGTCTGGGCCCCACTCCCTAGGCCAGGTGGAAATGGGCCTTACAGCAGGGAGCAGGTCTTCCTTCCAGGACTCATGGCAGCAGCAATGGTTATTTATCGAAACAAATTACCGTAGTGTAGTTACTTGGATATAAGGTAAAGGGACCCCTGACCATTAGGTCCAGTTGTGACCGACTCTGGGGTTGCGGCGCCCATCTCGCTTTACTGGCCGAGGGAGCCGGCGTATAGTTTCCGGGTCATGTGGCCAGCATGACGAAGCCGCTTCTGGCGAACCAGAGCAGCGCACGGAAACACCGTTTACCTTCCCTCCGGAGTGGTACCTATTTATCTACTTGCACTTTGACGTGCCAACTGCTAGGTTGGCAGGAGCAGGGGCCAAGCAACGGGAGCTCACCCCGTCACGGGGATTTGAACCACTGACCTTCTGATCGGCAAGTCCTAGGCTCTGTGGTTTAACCCACAGCGCCACCCGCGTCCCTTACTTGGATATATGTCTGTGCAAAAAGTGTGTGCAAAAGTGGTTAGCTGTTGGTAGAGTATGTGTTTGGCAGTGCAGTCTGGTCTGCATGTGCTTGGAAGTGATTCCCATGGAGTTCAGTGGGGTTCACTCCTAGACAAGTTGCATAGGACCACCCCTTGTTAAAATCAGCGGCATTTATAACTGCTTTCCGTCCTTTTCCGTGTATAAGACTAGGGTTTTTCCTTTAAAAATCATGCCAAAAGATGGGGGTTGTTTTATACATGGGTAGTGCATAGGGTGGATGTTTGATTGGTTGCTGCCGCGGCTGTTAGCGGCTATTGTGCGTGTGATTGGTTTCTGTGTAAATGGTGTTGATTGGCTGAAGCTGCGGCAATTGGGCGTGCGATTGGCAGCTTCTGCCGGCGAGGGGACAGACGAAAGCAGATTTTGCAGGTGAGCGATTTTCGGCAATCCCATCCCAAAGCTCAACAACTCCGCGCCATCTCCCCTCCATTTTCTTAAATTTGAGTCCCCCAAATAGGGGGCGTCTTATATATGGGGGCATCTTATACAGTGGTACCTCAGGTTAAGTACTTAATTCGTTCCGGAAGTCCATTCTTAACCTGAAACTGTTCTTAACCTGAAGCACCACTTTCGCTAATGGGGCCTCCTGCTGCCGCCGCGCCGCCGGAGCATGATTTCTGTTCTTATCCTGAAGCAAAGTTCTTAACCCGAGGTACTATTTCTGGGTTAGCGGAGTCTGTAACCTGAAGCGTATGTAACCTGAAGCGTATGTAACCCGAGGTACCACTGTACACAGAAATGTATGGTAACTGGCTGGAAGGGTAATACGCAATTGTCTACAATTCATTATAGAGCTTTCTTGAAGAAATACATTTATGTTGTCTGTTTCTAGCAAACTATATTTAGTTTCTGGAACTGTTTTCATAGAATCATAGAACTGTAGAGTTGGAAGGACCAGGAGGGTCATCTAGTCCAACCCATTGCGATGCAGGAATCTTTTGTCCTACATGCGGCTTGAACCTGCGACCCTGGGATTAAGAGTC